CACGGTCAACTGTATCTATGAATATACCACAACTATCAAACTGTAGTATTATTGCCATAGTCACACACATACATACTGGGTGTATGTATGTCTCCTGGGCGGTTTAACTTGTTTAGCTGAATAGTGAATTGCCAAATGTGTCAAACACTTGTATACGATTATTATACTGTTCTGACACAGCAACTTTGCCATCAGAAGTAACATTGATTCCATTCAACCCATTTATCTCTCCGGACTGATTTCCATTTACTAACAAACGACATACAGTGACCTCCTTGCTGGCTCTACAATCTGATACAATATGACCCTTTATCTGCAACGTACATTTTCCAATTTATTTTGACAGATAGCAATACCATAGGGATGCTGTAACTTATTGTTACCAAAGCGTCTTGTTAGTCTACCACTGTCATTACATACAACCACATGTTCATTGTCACTGTCTGTAATGAATATATAACCTCCATCTGACACAGCTGAATACATTGGACAGAATGATTTGGGGGAAATCAGTGAATGTACCGGTAATAGTGGAATGAATGGCGCCCTCTAGAGAGAATAGTTACAATCAATTCTTTTTATAATCACAAACTAAAACACTCTTTGTTCTGGTTAATGCTATACCATATGGTTGTGATAATTTCCGCCGTCCTTGACCACTACTATCAAAATGTCACTAGTCTGAGACACCCCTAAAAGTATGTGAAAGCATTTCCATCGGCTAGATGAGCAATCGCAGGCATGAGTGCTAACAAATTGTGTTTAATTCAGTCGCTGCGGGCGCACATCATAATGCAAGAGAGCGTAGTGAGCTCGCGGTAACACAATGCTACTTTACTAGGTTGACAACGGGACAGTAGACAATTAGGTGTACGACGAGATGGTCGCGAGGAGAGCAGCGGCCGGCTGTATCACCGTCGTCCTCCTCCTTCAGTTTATCGTGGATTGGCCCCTCACCCCTAACTTTAATTCCAACCTTGCCCATCCTCTATTTTAATTATATAGGCCCCTCTTCAAGATATGTATACTTATCTGGAGGGGCATATATAATTATATTGAGGCCGGAGTGTTCGAATCAGGGTTAGATTAGGGCTGGGGTGGGGTGGGCTCTTAAGAAAGTCATTTCCGTGGAATTCCAGTAGAACGACAGGACACTATAAATAGTAACAAATTACTCGCGGTATTTTCTAAACCAAAGAAGGGGAATGCATCTGACACCATAATAATCTATTGTATGGTGCAGAATATCTTGATTAATGGTGTCGAATGTTTTACGGAGGTTAATGAAAATGCCAAGAGTAATGCTTTTGTCTATACTGTCTATTAAATCTAAATACTTGCGTTTCGTATAATGTTTTTACAAAATCCAAATTGTGTTTTTAAAATAATATTATATTAATCTAGATAATTAATTAGTTATTTGATGGCAATTGATTCGATAATTTTGCTAAATATTGGTAGAATAGAATTCGGACGGTAGTTTCTTACATTGTCAGATGTGTAATATTTATAGACGGGAATAGATATTGCAATTTAATGTGTATCGGGAAGGCAGTCTTAGATCAAACCAGTGTTGGGTGAATCAAATCATGTCTTAACATTATTATTTTTTATTCAATATTTAGTAAATAATGTATATTTCGTAGAAATTTATTTTAGGAGACAGCCTATTTTTTTTTATGAATTTATAAAATGCCGTAAACACCTCAGTGAGATCAACTGAGTTTGGGACAGTATGTCATGGTAATTTACTCACGCCATTTTTGAATAACTTTGGACTGTATTTTCTAAACAATTTTGCGTCGATTTTGGCCTTTGGTCAAACAAAATTTTAGGTAGCGATCTGTCAAATCCGAATATATATTGCCAGTTTCAAGAAAGCAGTCTGTAAGGTTGATAATCACGTGATCACACTGGGATGATAATTAGTGAAGTTATACATGTTTAAAAGTGCATGATAATGATTAATAAAATATGCTTGGTTTTGTATTTACATCACCAAAGATAACACATTTCTTTCCCCTGGAAATCAAAGTAAAATAAATTTTTTGGTTAACGGGTATATCACAGTGTATAATTAAAATATTTTATTTGAGCGGGTAAAAATCAGTAACACGTTATAATCATATTGTTATTTAATCACTCCAAATCATAGATGCGGAATTATACAACGATGTAGATACACTACTTGTATATTAACGGGAATCTGATGTAAATTATATATAGTGGCTTTTTCACAAGTGTCTCTCTGTTACCGCGTACTACGTGATCTCACCACATATGGTTGTCTGTATATGGACGTACATTGTAGGAATCTGTCTAGATGACATATTTAAAGTAAACAAATCAGTACATGTACAAGTTAATTACTAGATAAAATCTTTTCGTTGTCTCACAATGATGATAATCATATTGAAATGTTGTAATGATTTAATATGAACTAAAATTAATGTGGGAAGATGAAATCTTGGTTTACAAAAATACAAACGTTAATCGATTAGATATTTTATTTCACAACTCTTTATTAATTTGGAATATAATACTTTGTAAAACATTTTACGTCGTTGTAGAGCGCCCAATGAGTTCCCATTTCTTGTCACTTATGATATGTTCCAATCTACCTCAGTCGGCCTCGAATATTCGATGTAAATGACATACACGTAAAAAACAGCATGCGGTCGTTGTACAATTCACAAACCTGCCACGTTTGATGCGCAATTACCCGTTGTAATGGTCATCGTCAGTGACAAATGCAAGTCACATAATGGAAATACCACTGACCAAAAGCGTGGCGTTAAATCCAATAACCCACGTTTTCCAGAGAATATTTCATAATTATACTACGAAAAAACAATGAAAGTAAAAGATTCAGCAATTGGATTACGAATTGAAAGTGTGGTATGGAACCTTAAGCACTGACACACGTCATAAATCACATTTCAAACTATGAAAACTGTTGTACCGAGATCCACTAATCGCTTTGCTCAAAAAATAAAGTAATTGCTTTTGATACGGATTTGAAAGACAGATCGGGTCATAGATAGGGAAAGGTGTGTACACGCAACGGTTAATATAATCTACAGATTATGATCTAATTCGACAAATTATGGAGATAATTATAAGTCATCATAATTCTACTCATTTGTAGAATGTTTCTACAATCTCCATATTAGGATTGAATTCTAGGATTTGACGAGTTATACGGAGTATGAAATTGTGATATGTACAAATACTCTGAACAAACCATGTCAGTTTCAACATACCCAAGCATTATGTATAGCTATAAAAAGTTATAAACAAAATATAATATCTGTATCATGTCGATAATTAAGTATTCATTGCTGACATATTTAACACAATACTGAACAGCAGTTACATAACAAATAGAATATAAAACATAACTTGTGATAAAATCTAACAATGTAACAATTTTTCTTAACAAAGGGCAACTTTATTTGATGTAAAATTAGTTCATCTTCACTACTATAACAGCGTTGACGCATTTTTCGCAGAAAAGCAGAAAGTCACCTAATCATCAATTTGGGAATTGTGGTCCACCTAAAAATTTGTTTAATCGTTCAGTGTTCATTTCAAATCATTTTAAAATTCTCATCTCTATTGTTTGATTGTCTTGTTCTACGAACAGATATGATACATGGTTATTTGCATATTCTTCACAGAACTCCTCAAAACCTATTCACTGCTGGGAATGGATTGTGAAGACATTTCACAATTGTTAATACTGAACTCAGAATAAATTAACTGTGATCGATTATATAAACGTTTATACGTGTGCATCTGCGAATGTTCAGTTGTTACTTACACACTGGCTTAATATATGAGTTTTTGATTGTTACTAATCTATAAACTCATTTGGCAAATTAACCTTGGCGTTTGCTACGATACAGTATGATATGTTATTCACTGCAATAACGGCTAAAGGTAACACACAATGAACTATGCACACACAATGGATAATTTGCAAACAAATGTTTGAAACTCCGCTATTATTATTATTATTATTATGTAGTATGTTCGATTAACTATCGTTATGGGCGTAATAAAGACACTTGGTAATATAAAATAAATAGTTACCTTGTTTGTAGGATAAAGCAAAATATTATAATCCGATCTTCCAAAAGATGGAAATACCAGTGCTATTTTCATAGACGTTACTCGTAGCTTGCGGATGTACCCTGGTTCATAGCAATTCACCGATTTTCTTGGATTTCGACGGCAGTCTTAGCAAATGTGCTTTCACTGCAATATACACAATCGTACTGCAGCAAACAAACAGAAATCGTGAGGGTTGTATTTCGGTTAATTACATCTTTTAGAAAACGAGAGGAGAAAAAAACTATACGCAATATACTAAATGCGAAGAGGACAACATTGACGTATAGATACGAGCATGTAGCCGATTTCTTCCGTGGAATATTCGTCTTTGAAGTGCTCGTCTGTCTATTCGTCGTCATATTAATATCTGAATCAAAAGTATTTATACACAAATCAATGGAACCAGATGATTCTAAGTTTTTGTATCTGGCAGATGAGTCGTCGACTAACAGCAACAGATCAGACGATCAGAATGGGAATCAGGTAAGACAATCTACACGAGACATTGCACAATGCTAAATATTATAGTAATTGTTGTCATGGCATTTAGAACATCGCTATCAATAATTGCTTTTGCGATGAAGTGCGCCAGCCATCGACGGCTACTTATCAGATTGGTGTGTACAGTACAACAATGCGCAGAAGGCAGACAGTCACTCGTGTGGGTGGCATGGGTGGGGAGTGAGGCCCCAGGTGACTTTGTGTCATCACTTTGTTTATACTCACGTATTTACAATAAATATTAGAATGGGAAATACTATATGTTGATTTACATCTAAAGGAGAACTCTCATGTCAACAGCAAAAGTTTATTCTTTTTTTACAATATTTTGACAAAAAACGACGTCACTAAAAGTGTGGCATGCGCCCTCACAGTGACGCTACATAACGATCACAACAATTTATTTCATGGCATGTGATAATACTAGCCTGATAAGGTCGCGTGAGTGCGCCCTTCACGGTACTCCAAACCCAACACAGGCCTGACAGAACGACCCCCGACATTTTTTCGTCGGTACCAATCAAATTGCAGGAACGTCAGATAGTGACATAATGTGTGATAAGATGCTGGCAAATTCCCATCCAATGTTTATTATCTTATTGAAAACAGTCTGTGATGTCTGCCGACAATGCAAACACGGTTTTGATTGACGGTGTTACCATGACCACCAAAATGAATATTCATTGAAACTCATTGTAAGAAGGCGTGAACTTTGCAACTTTGCAGAATTGATCTTACCGACGAGACATACACTGTCAGGCGTTAGTGAGGTCTGATGCAGTTCGGCGAGGGTGCTACTCACGCCTACATCTCAGGCTAGTGACAATACGCAAAATTAGATGTTATCATTGCAATTACGTCATATTTGCCTTTACATGTATTTATGTTCCACAAAGTAACATTTAGTTAAAAATCGAACTGTTTCAGCCATAAAAACAACATATCACATGAAGAGATATCCACAAAATGTATACATTGAACAAAAAATCATTGCCCGTGAGGGCAGTATTCAAACCGTGCACCAGTCGATCCGCATAGCTCACAGACGCCTGAAACCTGGACCAAATTAATTCATACTGGATAAATATTTTAAAATTAGTCGTGAAAGCGGTAACCATCTGAAATTATGAGATAGATGCATGGAAGTACACATGCATTTTATCACGTGCCGCACCCTGATTATATGAATTGACATGTGTTCTGCAACTTAGCTACTCTTTGATATCATTCCGCACAAACTTTAAACCAATCACGAGTGTTCTTCTCTATGACGTCAACATGTTGTATTTCTGACATTTAAATTGATCACCACAATATAAACTAATCTAATCTATTTTCCTCACTTTGTCGAAAATTACAGTTTATTTAAAGCGGGTGGGGTTGTCAACTGCGCACGCGCGGGAATTGAGTCCCAGGCGACGATAACAACACACGCTAAAACGCAAAGGCTTATGGGTAGACGCTTGTTTGTAACCAATGATACGCTATGGCCCTGACGCATGCGTAGGTGACGACTACCCCGCTTTAAAAGGTAATTCCAGGCTAATAACACAATGCCTCTAGATGAAAGAGCTCTACAAATACATAATAATGCATGTTCCATTTTTATGTTCCAGACATATATTTTACTTTTCGTCAGTATATGTTGTCCATCATCTTGATTCTCCGGCAAAGAATTGTGGGTAAAGTATGACATCATAGCCACTGTTGAGGTTTTATACATAATTAGTGAAAATTAATTTAAATAAACCTTTCTCGATTCATTTCATCACATTTGTAAATGTGTGTTTTGGAGATCACCTGCACACCCTTGGAGACTAGCATAGGCCTCTGAACGTAGAAGGGAGGGAAGTTTGACATGAACTTATGCAAAGGTACAGTGCTGGAACGGAAATTCAGCAGTTTCATATGCCATGTTGAAACTCACTGAGTTATTTTTTTCCCAATCTGTTTCTTATGTGAGGTACAATGAACCCGTTCCGTTCATCTTTGTATTTTTTTTATTGTCGTTTGAAAAAGTTCCAATGGTATTCAATCGACCAATAGAAACCTCTTGCTTCAGTTTGAATCGTGTAATTTGTAAGTACTATGAAGTTAACGGGTTTGTTGTACCGAGCGTACTACAATGAGGAAACGATACTATTGTTATGCATTAAAATGTTTTATAAGCATTCGAAACCCAGACACATTATGCTCAAATATGGAGCTGTGTCGACAATTGCACATTTGGGACACCGTACTTTTTAAGCCCGCCTTGTGACCTTTGAGCAAATATGCAAATAAGTGTTTTCGTAATATAGCGTAGCGGCCTCGTGAATAATATCGTATTAGTCTACCACTGTGTCTGTGAACTATTCGGGCCACCACACTCTTCCGTAGCGATGTTAAACGTACTCGCTTTGTTTACAGTCATCGCTGTCTGCAGTGGAAAGGTAAGAGGTATTATGGCGCACAATGACATCATTATGTCAATATATTCTGCTTCCGTTTTAATTAGACGTGTATATTTTTGCCAGAGACACCACTTTCGGATTTCATATCAAGATCGGACAGTTCGCTAAGAATCACTGTGTTTTGGCAGTTTTTCTTTTACTGTATCAATTAGAATGAAGACCTAAATCACACACGGAAAACTCCTCGCGCGGCGACCGTGACTTCACGTTCAATATTCTCCGAACTGCACGACATCTAAGCCGGCCTCCCGTTTGGCCGCCTTGACCGGGGCTTGTGCACTGCAGGCCAAGGTTGGCTGTAGTAAATGTATTAGTATGTATAGTATGAATGCGTGTTTTTGTTTTGTGCTGGTATATTCTAAGTTGCGAATTCAAGCGAGATATGAAACGGTAGCGATCTATATTCTATCACAGAACGAATCCCTGTGTGTTGTTTTAGCGGAAGTGAACGCTCCAGAATATATATTCGTGTTTTGAGTTGAATAATAGTAATTCCATGATCCGTAGAGTTCAGTTCACATACTGGATTGAAGGCGAACGGGCCAAGGCCACGGTATTTCGGTTGAAAAAAATGGACCTTTTGAAAACGGGAGGGGGGGGGGTATTCAGTGTTGATTAATTTCCCTCGTTTAAAACAGCTACCAGCTACCAGCTTTCAGACTCCCATGATTTTAAAACATATCGTTAGGATACTGCTAGTTTTACCGTACAAATGGCTAAACAAACTAGAAACAGCGATGTTTTTTCAAGCCATTTAACATTTATTCCTTTGTGAGAAAAGACCTCGTCAAATCTGAAAGTATCTTTCGGTGACCTTTAGTGACAGATGGAATAAAAAGGGGGTAATTCTGTCGGGGATTATTATGGGAATCTAGGGAATATAATTTATTTTCCATGGATTCTTGTGGAAATTATTCCAAAAAATACCTATTTTTGGCATTTTGTCACACGATTTTCTTTAAAACCATGATTTGTACCAGGTAAAATCTCACAAAAGACTACAGCATATATCAACATCTATAATTAATTAACACTTTCAAAACTAAAATATTGTAAAATATTCACCCTATACAGAAATATGTCCCGCGAACTTCCTCAATGTGGTTTGTGGGCATTTCACATATAAATATATAGCGAACAGGCATTACAAAGTTCCTTTGTTTCGAGATACCAGTCATCAACTTTTGATTTTATACCCAGTATTACTTCAAAAATAATTAATAATTTGTGACAATCGTGAGTATTTTTGTGAGCAAAAGTTTGGTGACCAAACTTTTATCGGGATTTTGATAGCAAGTGCAAAAAATGAAGCCTCATGGTCAAAGTCCATTCAAACTCAGACTAGTAATACAATAGTACATGTAATTACGATAAGATAACCTAAACAAACGTGGCACGCATTACTTCAAAAGAAAACCCCGCGTTGCCAGTCTGTTTTATTGTAACTGTCGTCGTGATGTTCAGACGACTGCGTACGGGAAACAAAGCAACATAGTCAGACGCCATCCTTCAAACCGGAAGTTCCTTAATTTGATTTATTCATGCAAAAGTAATCAGGACATTTTGTGGATTATACCAACGGCGCACAATTTGCCAAAAAATCGTTGTACCATCATGACAATTTAGACGACTACACACGATCTAATCCCGCGTCTGAACCATACCAACACAGGCGAAAATTATTAGAACGCCGTAGAATATTCAATAGTTTGAGTGTAACCTCGCTCTTGCTTTGTTTATCTACATAGAGGGATAGAGGGACTGTGGCTTATCTCCGAATGTTTGTGGCTGTGTCGCTACGAGTACAAACGCAACACAATTGGATATCGA